ATTGATTCTGTTCGACCTCTTAGTACCATTGGTTATGACATTTTTCTGGGCCACCTCTCTAGGACGTGACTTGGAGGCACTTCTTTATAGTGGCTCCAGTCATTCCTGAAGAGGTGAACATAGACGATAGTGTTGGTTTGAGCCAACCACATCCTAGCCATTGGACTGTGAGGTCACTCAGGATTCAGTTCTCTCTCTCACGTTCAGTGTATGTATATTTTAACCCTTGCTGGTTTCACAAATATAGTTATGAGACCACCAAGAGTTAAAATAGGATTTTAAATGGATTGTTGTACCTTACTTCTTTAAATGTGTTTCAGTGCTGCTAATGTCTTTTGTATGTTATTTATTTGATCCTTTTGTATTGTATACTTACTGTTGTTAACATTAAATACTCTCTTTTAATGATGTAAGCTGCCTTGGATCCTTTTTAAGGAGAAGGGCGGGGTTAAACTATCTTAAATAAATAAAATAAATAAGGTTGGTTGTCCAGAGAATTTGTGGTTTCGTGCCACCTGTATAGTACCAGTTTCCTTTCCCTTTAACTCAAAAGAAGCTGTCTTGCTTTTAGAACAATGTGTAGTATCTATGATTCAGTGGATAAGGGTGAACAAATTAAAGTTTAATCCAGGCAATGCAGAAGTGTCCCAGTCAGTCAGAAGGCAGATAAAGGAACAGGGAATATTTTGGATAGAGTTATACACCATGTGAAAACTCAGGATTGCTGCTTTGGTGTTCCTTTCGGTTCAGCCCTGAACCTAGATGCCCAGGCTTTGACTATGGCGGGAATGTGTTTACATGATTGAAGCTACACTAAGAGTGCTTTCATTTTTGAGATGGTCTGCTCTGTTTACAGTGATGTGCGTTTTGGTTACATCACATCTAGTGACTGTAATTGATCTACATGGGCTACCTTTGGAAAGTGTTTCGAAATTTCAGTTGCTTCGAAATGCTGCGGCCAGACTGCTGAGTGGAGCTGGTTACAAGGAAAACACAACTCACTTGTTACGACAACTTCATGGGCTGCAGTTTTGGAGGTCAGTTCAAAGTGCTAGTTATGATCTATGCAGCCCTATATATGGTTTGTGTGTCAGGCCATCTGAAAGAACCTCATTATGTGACCTTGCATGGATTTCAAGATCTTTGGGAGAGACCCTTCTCTTGGTCTGCGGCCTTCATAGTCATGTTTAATGAGGACAGGAAAGAGGGCCTGTTTGGCTGCTCTCAGATTGTGGAATAACCTCCCTTGGGAGACCCGGTTTCCTCCTATCCTCATCCCTTCAGGTGGCAGGCAAAGGCCTTTATTTTTAGGCAAGCTTTTAAACACTGAACACAGTTGACTTTTGTTGCAGGGAAGCTGTACATTCTTTGCTTTTGCAGTATACAGTGGGGTCTTGACTTGAGAACTTAATCCATATTGGAAGGCGGTGCTCAAGTCAAAAAGTCTGTAAGTCAAGTCTCCATTGACCTACAGTGCATTGAAAACCGATTAATCCCGTAACAGGCCGTTTTTGTTCCATTTTGGTTTTTTTCTGGTCTGTAAGTCAAATCTCAGTCTGCAAGTCAAACCTAAATTTTGCGGCCAGAGAAGTCTGTAACTCAAAAAGTCTGTAAGTCAAGCCGTCTGTAAGTCAAGGGTCCACTGTAACAGCCATTATCAGTTGTTGTTTGGTAGCCCTTCTGTTCAAAACAAAACAAAACACACAACACCTACAGGTATACAGCTACAATGCTATTTGCGCAATCCTGTGTAAAAAATAAATGATGACCAAATGAAATCCATTGCAATCTCTTGAAATATTATTTAAATATTAGTTGCACACTTTGGTTTGTGAGATTTTAAAGATGGGAGGGAACATTTGCACACAAAAAAAGCCTCCCCTCCCTGCAAGATCACAAAAATGAAAGCAACCTGGCAGCCTGTGACCTAGCACTGGTTCCTGATTTGGGATTTAGTCAGAACTGTGATCGAGATTTTTAACAAAGGCAATTCAGTTCCTGAATCTTCCTTAAAGAACATTCTTTTGTACATGGTCAGTTAAAGGCATACTGAGTCTTAATGGAAATTGGAGCAAAACTAAAACACAGACTATAAATATACTGCTGACATGCTTCTTCCAGCCTCAAAATTTTATCTTGTGGCTTCTGTTTTTGCACATAGGTTTTGCTTTTTCTGTTCTAAGACTACATAATAATTTTGGTGAGTCTTCATAGCCTAGCTTGTTGGAATAGCTTTGCTTAAGTCTCGCTGTAGAAGCCATTGTGTTTTGCTCAGGGCCTTTCATATCATTGGAATTTGCTCTGTAAAATGCCTCACTTCATTAGAAAGCAATGCTGATGTAATTCTAGAAAACTTGGCTGAATAAATGTTTTAGGTTGCTGGATGATAAAATACTTCTGCCTAAAAGCTTTAGTACCTTGTAAGATTTGATTATCTTTCATTACCCGTATAGAATTTAATCAGGATATTTCTAAAAAAAATTGGCCATATTTTTTGGGGGGGCGGGGAATGAACACCAGAAGTAACAGGATGTATTTATTTATTTAAAATATTTTTTTAGCTACCTTTCTCCTTAAAAGGACCCAAAGTGGCTTACATCATTAAAAGGCAGTATTAAAGCTAACAACAGTGAGTATTCAAATACAGGGGTGCCTCGCATTACGACGTTAATTCGTTTCAGTGAAATCGCTGTAGAATGAAAACATCGTAATGAGAAATTAAAAAGCCCATAGAAACGCATTAAAACCCTATTAATGTGTTCCTAGGGGCTTGAAACTCACCGTCCAGCGAAGATCCTCCATAGCGCGGCCATTTTTGCTGCCTGTGCAGTGAGGAATCCGTCCCAGAAAACCTTCAATGTAAAGTGATTTCGTCGTAAAATGGAGCACTCATAATGCGAGGCACCACTGTACTAAAAAGAATCAAACAAGCACCATATTAAAAGCCTAACCAACACCAGAACACATTCAAAGCAGTCAGGCACAGCAATTTATTTAAAACTCCCATTTAGGCAGCCAGTCATTGAGGGAAAGCTTGCCTGAAGAGGAAGGTCTTTGCCTGCTTGGGGAAGGACAGCAAAGATGGCACCAGGCTGACCTCCTGTGGGAAGGCGTTCCAGAGTCTGGGAGCAGTCACAGAGAAGCCCTCTCCCATGTCCCCACCGAGTGCACCTGTGAAGGTGGTGGGACCAAAACAAAGACCTCTTCCTGTTGGTCTTAACACCTGAGCAGGCTCATAAAGGGAGATGCGCTTCTAGAGATAGCTTGGGCCCAAGCCATTTAGGGCTTTAGAGGTTAGAACCAACACTTTGAATTCTGCTGAATTCTGCCTGGAACTGGATCAGCAGCCGGTGGAGCTGCTGTTATAGGGGGTTATGCAATTCCTGTAAGAAGCCTCAGTCAGCATTTGGAACATTAGGTTAGTTCTTTGGATTTTTTTTTTGGAGGGGTGAGGGGCAGTGTTCCCTCGTAAGGGTCTCACACATACACAAAGCTTTATTGGGGCTGCAGACGTGTAGCCAGTTTAATTCTTATTTCAGCTGAAGCCCTGCCTCTCCACATGCGCACAGGGTGAAATTCTCGCATAGTGGGAATGAAAATTAGAGGGAACGTTGATGGGGACTTCCAGGCATTAGATTTGCAGTGCTAAAATACGCCACTTTTGGAGGTTTCTAGAATAGGAACTGAGCCTAATTAGGTGGCCCTGGAGTCAGCACAAATGCTCCTGGTGGGCAACATGCAGCCCATTTGCTGTGACCTGCCCTACTAGGAACAGTTGTGTGAGCTGAGTAAGTTTGGCTTGGAGAAGAACAAAGGTGAGAGGCCATAGGCTAGCCCTTTTGAAACATTTGAAAGGGTGTTGCGTGGAAGAAGGAGGAAGCTTATTTCTCTGCCATTTCAAACTGAGGGACCTGGGCTAACAGATTCCAATAAAAATAAAGCAGATCCTAATGAAACATTAGAGGAGGAATTTCCTGACAGTAAGACCTGTTTGGTAGTGCAGCGAGCTCTTCTTGATCAGGGGATTTTGAACAGAAGTTGAACGGCCGCCTGAAGAGGTGCTTTAGTTGTGGATTTTGAGCAGCAGGAGACGACTTTATCAACTGCCTAGTGAAACATCTCCACCCATCGTTCTTAACTGGAGGCAATGGATGTCTAAGAGAGAGGGAAAACACCATTGTTTAAGAGCTTGCAGTAGCTTCAGCGTGTGTGAAATATCTGATATGCCAGTGTGCCTTAGTTGAGAGAAGGTGATTGTTGTGCTTATGCATGGTTTTACAGTTATAAAATTTGTGTTCTGCTGTCAGCAGGGAAGGCTGAAGTGCTTGCTTCAACGGTGAGTCTTCTTTTCAGTTGTAGACTTGTGGGATTTAAGGACAAATAATGCTTCAGATGCTGCAGAATTTGGTGGAAGGTGTTGTATCCCAGAACTGAGGTTCTCTGTATGGCAGAATGAAAATCCATCTGAAGGGTCTGGCTGTAATTGAAAACTAGTTATAGCAGGGCAGAACAGTGCTGTGTCAGTGCAAACTGCTGTAACCAGTCTTCCACAAAAGAGGCTCCTAAAAGATTTCCTTTCACATGAACTTACTAGGTAGTGGTAGATAGGTCATCATAAATAGGCCTCAGTCCTTCACCTGTAAAGTAGGCCAGTATTATTGTTATCATTGAACTGTTGTAGAGATTACAACAAGTTAAAGCATGTGACACACTGAATGTGAAGATTTTTGATTGCCAACAACTACTAACAAGGCATGTGGATTCCACAAAACAAATTGCATTATTGTACCTTTGATTGTAGGCAACATTGAATGAATGAATGAATGAATGAATCTTGTATCTCTGATTGTAGGCAATGTTGAATGAATGAATGAATGAATGAATGAATGAATGAATGAATGAATGAATGAATGAATGAATGAATGAATGATTTTAAAACTCAGTGGCTGACTCTGTCTTTTTCTTCTTTCCTCCCACCTGGGTCTTTTTGTTTTCTCCAGGATCTCAGTTTGCCCAATGGTACTCCTGTTGATACATCTAGCCCAGCATCTTCCTCCTCACTTCTTAACAGACTGCAGCTGGATGATGACTTGGATGGGGAGATGCGAGACCTCTTCGTCACTGTTGATGATCCCAAAAAACATGTCTGTACCATGGAGACCTACATCACATACAGGGTCACAACCAAGGTATCACATCTTAATTTGTTCTAGGTGCTTTGGGTCTTTCAACAAAAGGTCTGTCCCATCATTATTCTGTTCCAAATTGCTTGCATGGCCCTCAAGCAGTATGAACAGGCCACCTTTGATTTGATTTAAATCATATTAGTGTATAATACACATTATTGTACATTACTGCAGATTAATAATTCCCTATTGCAGCCTGACAGAGTTGATTCCCACTTGGGCCTGGTTCACATAAAGCTGCATTCTGTCATTGTGATTTCTCACTTTAATATACTTGATAGGCAACTTAATGTGAGAACCTCCTCCTTGAAAAACACTGTTGAGTTTTTTTTAAAATTTATCCCCATCATCCCACTTTACAACATAAATTTCTAAAACACATGCAGCTTACAAATATTAATACACAACAATATTAAAACAGTATTAATTGTATTAGCATTAAAGCACATTCAACAGTTAAAACTGTTTAAAAAACAATAATAATAACAACAAAAACCACCTACTTTCCTCCTCAGCTGATCACTGGTGCAATGCTAAATGTCTAAATAAAAATGTCTCTCTTGTTAGGGAAAGGCTAGTAGAGGGGAACCAGCCTAGCTTCCCTCAGAAGGGAAATTTGCAGCCTTGAAGAAGAAATCACTGAGAAGATACTCACTTTGGTCTTCATCAGTTATGTCTGTATGAATGGTGGGACTGAAAGAAAGACTTATCCTGAAGGCTTTAAAACGTGGGGAGTATCATACAGAGAAATGTGAAAACACTCCATATTGATCAGATTAGGTGGAGAGTCCTCCTGGCGCCACCATATGAGAACTAGTATCGTGTAGAGGTTAATATGTAGGACTGGGTTCTGGGACTTCTAGGTTGAAGCAGCAAATGTGCTGTGTGATCTTGGGCTGTTCTCCATCTGCAACATCGACATGTTTGTTATGAGGATAAGAGTGGGGAGGAAGAGCACTGTGCACACTTCCTGAAGCTGATTAGAAGAACAATGAGATTGTAACAAATAACATAACAAATAGTAAATAAATTATTGCTACACAAGAGTACAGCAGTTGTTTTATTTTGGTAGAATAAATCAACCTTCTATAAGACAATTCTAAACGGGGCAGCCCAAACAAAAATTACAATTTTAAAACCGGGTTTCAGATCAGAATCAAATTTGGCATTGTTGCAGAAGACAGGGGAGGTTTGGGTAAAGGGTTTTCAGATGACTGGTTTTTAAAAGTAAAATCCCCCGCCCCATTTAAAAGGTGGTTGATCTCTGATGTCCTCAGATTTAGAATAGCTTATATAAATTAAAAAGACCAATCTTATCATGAAAGGGAATTGTTGGCCGCACCCACTTTTTAATTTGATAAAAAAATCCTTTGCAAAGTAGATACCGTATTTTTCTGTGTATTAGATGCCCCCCTTTTCTAACCCAGAATTTATTTCTTCCAAAGGAAGTGGAGGGGGAAAGCATGAGGAAAGTGCTTTCCTCGCAAGAACACGCTTTCTTTTCACGAAAGTGCTTTACTTTCTTGCGAGGAAAGTGCTTTCGTGCAAGGAAAGTGGAGGGGGAAAGCACGAGGAAAGTGCTTTCCTCGCAAGAACGCACTTTCTTTTCAGGAAAGTGCTTTCTTGCAAGGAAAGTGGAGGGGGAAAGCACTTTCTTGCGAGGAAAATGCTTTGCCTCTCCAGTGTCCTTGCAAGAAAGTGCTTTTCCCCTCCACTTTCTTTGCAAAAAGTGGAGGGAGGAAGCAGGGATCATGATCCCTCCCCCTCCTTACTTCCATGTATAAGACAACTCTAAATTTTTAATCTAAATATTTTAGAGAAAAGTATCATCTTATACAATATGTTGTTGCAGCTTCATGGGGAGAGCAGGGAATTGTTTGGAGAGCTGTAGGGCAATTATTAAAGGTCACAGAAACAAATGCCAAGCATTTTTCTTTACTGTAAAGAAAAACCTGGCTTTCTTTAAAGAACGTCATGGAGTAAAGGAGGATACTTTGCCATGTGTATCCAGGAAATTGGGCATATTCAAAGAATTTGTGCATTACAAATGCACAGAGAAGTTGTGTTTCTCCCATACCTGAGTGCTTTCACTTCTCTCAGGTTCCTGACACAAGTTTTCAAAGGGAACATTAGTTCTAGGGCTAGGGCAAACTGACCTTTTGAGTGGGCAATTGAATTTTTAACTCTTTCTTACCCAAAGAGGGATTCATGCTTGCAAAGGGATTCTGTGTCTTGTTGAATAATATTTTAAAATATATTTAAAAATAGAGAACAAATATTCAGAAACTCATTTGTTTAAGCTGTAAAATTACTGTGTTTTGCTTTGCAGCTGGGAATGGTCTTACTCGATGGTAGGAGAACCTTGGTACCTATACCTTTGTCATAGTCTCAACCATTCTACCCATGTCACTATACAATTGTATGGTATTTTTTTAAATCCAAAGATGTGCTGTCAGGTCACTTCTGATGTGTGATGATTGAATGAATTAATGACCTCCCAGGTGTCCTATCATGAATAGTTCTGCTCAGATCTTGCAAACCAAAAGCAGTGGCTTTCTTTATTGAGTCTCATACTAAGTCATTCTTGCTTTCTGTAGCTCACCTGTTCTTAGCAATATTGTCTTTTCCAGTATGTTCTGTTCAGATCTTCCAAACTAACAACTCTGGATTCTTTTATTGAGACAATCTTTCTCAAGGCTTCCTCTCTTTCTACTGCTCCCTACTTTTCCCAGCAGTATTGTCTTTTTAGTGGCTTTCTTTATTGAGTATCATACTAAGTTATTCTTGCTTTCTGTAGCTCACCTGTTCTTAGCAATATTGTCTTTTCCAGTATGTTCTGTTCAGATCTTCCAAACTAACAACTCTGGATTCTTTTATTGAGACAATCTTTCTCAAGGCTTCCTCTCTTTCTACTGCTCCCTACTTTTCCCAGCAGTATTGTCTTTTCTAGTCAGTTTTGGAGTCTCATTATATGTGCATAAGTAGGATACCTCAGTTTACTCATTTTTGCTCATTACTGAAAGTTCAGGCTTGACTTGAGTGAACACCCACTTATCTGTGTTTCTAGTGGTCTGTGGCATATTTAAGACTCTCCTCCAACACTGCATTTCAAATGGATATCTTCCTTTTACATAGCATGGATGATTTTGACTTTTGGTTTCCAGTGACAATTTTTGTTAACATCGAACCCTCACTTTTTGTATTTCAAAAGAGAAGTGAACATCTTTTAGAAATATGCACACAACATGTGTGTAGAGTTTTTGGTCCAATATAGCTTTTATTCCTCAGGTTGCCTATCCCAAGGAAATAGTTTGGAAATGGAAACATAGCTTTCTTGTCTGCGTTCAGCAGAGTGGCCACGACAACATTAGTTTGTCTGAGAGGTTAAAGGTGTTATCTTTCTCTGTTGTATGTGTTACACTTACTCACACCTTTCTTTCATCATCTCGTGAGGTCTAAAACATCCTTTCAAAATATTTTGATACAGAGGGACTTCAGCCTCATCCCAGCTGTTATGACTTCTGTCCTCCATCAGCAACCATAGTACAGATCATGTACTCATCTTCTGGAATCATCTAGCACTGGGTAATTCTGTATGAAGGAAGTTTTAGTTGGAATTTGTGTGTAGTGTACGTATATTCAAACTTCTATTTCAAAAAGCCAGGAAACTCAATTCTTCAAAAAACAAAACAAAACAACCACCTCTTAGTAATGATAATATAATATAATAATAATAATCTTTGAACTACAGAGCTGGAAGGGACCTATGGATCATTGAGTCCAGCCCCTGTCAAAGAGGCACAGTGGAGAATCAAACTCCCAACGTCTGGCTCCATAGCCAGATGCCTAAACCAATGAGCTATCCAGCAGAATGTGAATGTGGAATATTATACTTCTGTATCTATTCTTATACAAAACAGGTGAAATGACCTGCTATACGATATCATGCCTGTGTAGCCAGGAAGAAAAACAATGCCAAACTTTATATAACAAAGGGAATCCTGAATGTGGATGACACCCATGTCAGCAGTCAAAATGGTCTAAAGCAGTCATTCTCGGGGGTGGGGACTGGCATATTTGAAGGGGGCCACAGACTGGAAATGATTCTTCACATACCATCTTACAAGGTTGTTTATGTGACCTTGTACAATCCTGATTGGCCTATATTTCTTTCATATTGTGTTGGCTGTGGCCAATAAATAAATAAATGAATAAATAAACAAATAAATAAAAAGAGGCTGAGAATGGCTGGTCTACAAGATGTCCTCCTGTGCTTACTACCTTTCACAGAGAGAGACCAAGCAGGGAAAAATCCCAGAACCTGACTTCTTTTTTCATCAGTTAATCGCTGCTCATCTAGACACAAAGTAATTGTCAGGGCTGTTTTTCCGCAAGTTCCTTAGGTATGTATTGTTTGAAAAATATGAATGATCATGAAATGACATGATGAAACTTCTGCTTTGGTGCAGGGCAGTTGACGAGTTTACAATCAGTCACATTCATGAGTAGACTGGCCCTTGAACTGATTGCAAACGGGTATGGACAGAGGTACTATTGACTTCATCTTTCAGGTCTTGGATTTGCAGATTCAAAGGATGGGTGTCTTTTCTCATCTGTATCTAGAAACGTCCTCCCCCTTTTTTTGCTGAAGCATGGTACCAGCTTAATGTGATCTTTGCTGCTGCTTTTGTTTTTTAATCTGAATGCTGCCAATGTTTCAAACACAAAAGTGATAATTCATGAATTCTAGTATTAAGGATGAGGCTGAAAGAATAATTGACAATATTTGCTTGGTGTAGAGCAGCCAGTCAGAAAGTACAGAAAGCTGGGGGGTATATGAGGCTGATAATTGACAATATTTGCTTGGTGTAGAGCAGCCAGTCAGAAAGTACAGAAAGCTGGGGGGTATTAAACTTGATTTAATGTAAGTTTTTCCATTCAGAAGAGACAGCGAATCAGATACTCTAATTTTTAAGCCATTTCATTTCCCTTCCCAAAGTTCAAGTAAATCCCCAGTAAGCATCATTTTGTAAAGAAGGACCCACACTGCAACCTCCGAGAGTGATTCAGAATGAGGTATTTTGTGACAACTGTCCATATCTTTCCTTTAGCCATCTCTCAAATTCTGGATGTTGTGCTCCACTTTTGAGCATAAAAGAACATTGGCCCTGAACAGGGTGGATTTGATTTAAATCACAATTTAAATTTTAAAGGTCAGATTTTTTGATTATTTAAATAAAAAATGATTTTTAAAAGTTAAATAAAGTTGATTTTAAATAAAAATAATTGATTTTTATCCATCCTGGCCTTGAAGGGATATGTTTGAGACTTCTTTCTCAATACATACGTCTGGGAGTGTTGTGTTGTGCACTGGATTGCATGGGGCGGAGGTATTCCGAATTCATGTAAATTCCTTGGGAATTAACAATCCAATACCTTTCAGCTACACAAGCATGTACTTGAGTGAACACAGTTAATCTGAAAGACACATTTCTTCTAGGCATTGCGATTGCTTTGTGCCACCGAGCAAAAGATACTCAGAGAACTGTTTGAAACGTAACACTGATAATTGTTTTTTGTTTGCATGAGGGGTGATTACCTATTGAAAAAAGGAGTCAGGTTCTGGGATTTCCCCTTCTTGAATCTCTTCGTGAATTGTAGTGAACGCAAGAGGGTATCATACAGATTATTTTGACTGCTGACATTGGTGTCATCAATATTCAGACCAACCTTTGCTATATAAAGTTTGGCATACTTTTTCTTGCTGGCAATGCAGGCACAATGTTGTGTGACAATTTGGGGCTGTTTCCTGACATTTTGTATCATGGGTAGAGAAGCACAATATCCCACAGTGTGACAATTTTGTTTCCTGGCATTTTGTATCATGGTTAGAGAAGCACAATATCCCACATTCATAAACCAAGGTTTATGAAGAATAAAATAAATATACGTTAGTTAGGGTCACTGACATGGAGATTGCCTGCGTATGTATGTATTTGCTGATCTGTGTTATAAGTAACTCTCAAGAACTGAGTAGAAGCTTTGTCTTTGTCTAATAGCAGCGGTTTTCAGTGGTTCCTTTTTCAAGATTTGAGCATTAAAATATTTTTTTAATTTGGAAGCAGTTTTATATATAGGGATGTGGTGGCACTGCGGGTTAAAAAAGCAGTTTTATATATAGAATGTGGTGGCACTGCGGGTTAAACTGCAGAAACGTCTGTGCTGCAAGGTCAAAGACCAGCAGTCGTAAGATCGAATCCACACGATGGAGTGAGCTCCCATCGCTTGTCCCAGCTCCTGCCAACCTAGCACTTTGAAAGCATGTAAAAATGCGAGTAGATAAATAGGTGCTACCTCGATGGGAAAGTAATGGCATTCCGTGTCTAAGTCACACTGGCCATGTGACCACAGAAACCATCTTCAGACAAACGCTGGCTCTACGGCTTGGAAACGGGGATGAGCACTGCCCCCTAGAGGCGGACACAACTGGACTAAATGTCAAGGGGAACCCTTAACTATAAATTGCTTTTCATTTTAAAAAGTCACAAAGTGGAGCACAATAAAACAGGTGCAGTAAACTTATGGCTAAAGGAAAGAGTAACTGGTATATTAATGATCAGAAAAACAAATGAGGATAAAACTTGATTATGCACCAAATTGCTGCTTTTCCTGTAACCTTCCTCTGCTGCCCCTGACAAAGCAGTTTCATCCTGTAGTGTAAACTCAGCAGTCCTGTCCCATCCTTCAATCTTCTCAAGGAGAAATGAATGGTATGACAAACTGCTGATGAGCGTAATGTAAACGTACTGCTGAAATATGTGTTTGGAGGGTTTTTCTTTGCCTCATCCTTATTAGTTACATTATCAAACCCAAATCTGGCAATCATAGAAAGAGGAACTCATTTTCTGTTGGGGTGCAAGGGTCCTGTGCACATTGTGTTCAATGCAACACATGTGGTCTTTGCTATGAACATGTGTGAGTTCTGTCTGCTTTGTAGGGTTTGGTGGCAATATGACATTATGACTTGACAAGATATTTAGCCATTTGTAGGAACTGCTCAGAATACTAGACTCTGTCATTCGCTGGTGGCATGTGTTGTGACATTTATGACCGCAACTTGTAGTGATCTTTGCCAGCTTGGAAGACTATAAAAGAGGGATGAGGCAGATTTGTGAAGGATGAAGCTGCTTGTCTTTGTTCCTCTATGTGACCCTCAGTGTTGGTGGCACTGTATTTCTCTGCGCCAGTTGCTGGATACCATCCTCAGGAGAGTGCTGTTGTGTTCATGTCCTGCTTGGGAGATACTGGATGGTGGGCAGATCTGGTTTTCCACTATGTGAGCAGAATGCTGGGCTATCTAAGCCTTTAGTCTGAGGTAACATATGGCTGTGTTTGTAAACAAGACTGGTGTGAAGAGCCGGTTGTAATTTGTAGACACTTGCCTTTCCCAGGAAACCATAAGATTCCGTATGAGGTATATAAATGCTGCATGTTGAGAAGAGCCGGTTGTAATTTGTAGACTCTTGCCTTTCCCAGGAAACCGTATGAGGTATATAAATGCTGCATGTTGCTTTCCGATCCAGGATGACTGAAGGCAGTAAAGTTGTTAATGGTATAAACCTTCCAAAAAGCTGAGCAGCTATTTTAAATATTCTTTTTACTCCCTCACTGGAACATTCCAGTCAAATAACTCAAAGGAGAATCTTTCAACTAGCCTCCATCCAAGTACAATATTGAGATAGTTCCCAGATTATACATCCTACGTTACCAGAGGCATGAAAGTTAAATTTTGAATTTTCTCTCTGCTATTGTTGGAATGCCTCAAGATGAAGTCTGATCTGTGCATTTGGTTGCGAGGAAAACATTTAAGATGGTCTTTACAATGTCCGTAGGGAGGGGAGATATTTTCCTTTTTAATCAATCAAAGACTTTGATGGCTCTGTGCTCTGATTTATCTTAACTTCTCTTCTTTGTCTTTTTTGTTTGCTTCTAGACCACACGAGCAGAATTTGACTTACCAGAGTATTCCATGCGCCGAAGATACCAGGATTTTGATTGGCTTAGGATTAAATTGGAGGAATCTCAACCAACCCATCTCATTCCCGTAGGTAGTAAACCAGTTGTTGAACTCTTACACTGTTCTGCTTTAAAAAATTCCCATCTTCTGGTTTAATGGATGCAAGGTGGGTAAAAATGCAGAGTTTGGTTCAGTAATTTTCTGGTGGATTACACAATGGCTGTGCTTAGATTCCAGAATCTCCTTGGGTTCATGGAAGCTGTTTCCTAAGAGGATATGACTGGGAAATACTCTGTCTGCTTATTTGTAGTGTAGGTGTTTTGTTTTATGTTATTTGTTTTCAAACTGTTCTTTCTGTTAGCAGCCCTTTTTTTCTGTTGAGTGAACATTCCTATTAAATTTGCTTGTAATGACCTCCAGGATTTCTCATGAGCCCTCCAGTTCAGTTCTTGAATTAACTGGACCTGATGAGTTGCATATTGCAGCAGAAAATAAAATGAAATTTGAAAATGTGTGTACTTTTTTTCTTTGTTCTTTTTCATATTTTTAATTTATTTTTATAAATCCATTCAAAATAGTGCATGCATGCATGCACGTGCACAAAAACACACACTATTTACATTATCTCTATCTTTTTACATTCTTGACACACACGTGTCAAGATAACCCTCGACAAATCCAATGCCATCTTGATTTCCCCATTATGGCTCTGCCAACAGTGGTTCATGACCTTCCTTCTAATGGCATCAGACTAGATCAGACTTTCCCTTTACCACAGTCTGATCTTCTGTCATCAAGGGTCAATTCTCCACCTCGATCTCCAGCAACCGAAGTTGACCACGTGGAGAATATTCCACTATTTGCTGACATCCTTAGACAAGCCAGGTGACCATTAACCAAGCACCTTTATGACTATAAATGAAAAAAAAATCCAGTTGTATCTTAACGCAATCTACAGGAGTCCCCGACCTCTCTGTCCACAGTCATAACCTCCTTGCTACACCTCAAACAGCAAGGCCTCTCAATTTCCACCTTAAAAGTCTACATAGAAGCCATAGTTGCTCATCAACCTCAGGGTCATCTGTATTTATGCTTCTTAAGCACCAGATTGTCAAACAATTTTTCAAAGGCCTTCAGAATGCTTACCCAGATGTATGAATGCCTACACAGGCTGCATGAAACCTGGTCTCTATGGTTGGTGTTAACCCAACTCAACAGGCATCCTTTCAGACCCATGGCCACGACTGATATCTGCCTGTTTACATTTAAGACTGCACTCCTGGCTGCCCTCATGACTGCTCAGTGCACCACAGAACTTACTGCACTCCATTCTGATTCTCCTTACCTTGTTTTATTCAAAGATAAAGTCACTCTTTGCATGGGCTTAAATTTTCTACCCAAGGTTACTTCACATTTCCACATGTCTCTGCCTCTCATACTACCAACTTTCTGCCCTTCACCACAGAACAATCTGGAACATTCCTTACACTCATTGGACATTAGGTGGGCACTCACTTTCTGTCTTGATAGAACAAAATACTTTAGACAAACAAACAAACTTTTTGTTTGCTACCAGGGCCCCAGAAGGGGACATACAGTTTCTTCTTTTCAAATGGGTTGTCCAGGCTATCAACTTAGCTTTTGATATCGCAGATAAACCCTTGCCTAAGGCTTTACGTAGCCACTCCACCAGAGGCGTTTCCTCTTCTGCCATCTTTATGAGGGGCATGGACGTTAAGATATTTGTCGAGTGGCTATATGGTCTAGACCGCTGACATTTGTTACTCACTATAGAGTTGACCTTAGAGCACAACAAAATACTTCTTTTCGATAAGCTGTTTTATCTTCTGCTTTGCCTTAAGCCACCCCCAGATTCTTAGCTTGCTAGTCATCCATTTGTCTGCATGCATGGACAACATGGTGAAGAGGGATAGGCTACTCACTGTAACTTTGGGTCTTTCAGTAGTGCTCCATGTAGTCACACACCTCATTGACCTCTCCCCCCATTCATCCTTTTTTCTATTCAGCGGGAGACATTTGGGACTGAGGAGAGTGGGGCCACGTGTGTGTGGTAGAGGCAGAGGGACTTTTGTTTCTAAGAGGCTCTGGAACTTTCCAAAACAGTGTTTGTGCAGGCGCACAACCCATTTAGGTGACTACATGGACACCAGTTGAGGAACCACCATTACAGTAGGTAACCTATCCTTTTGTGAAGATTAAAATTCAGTCACTGAAGAAAGCTTTCAAGACATGAGGGGAAATGTGTTTATCTTCTTTCAGATGAAGAGGAATTCAAGTTCAAACACCTCTGGAACGAAGAGGTGCAAGTTGACCAGCTTATTCTGACTGTTTGTTCATTATTTTGAAATTCTGTATAATTTTTCTTTCACCTCCTCCAGCCTCTGCCAGAGAAATTTGTGGTAAAAGGAGTGGTCGACCGTTTTTCAGAAGAATTTGTTGAGACAAGGAGGAAGGCTTTGGACAAATTCTTGAAAAGGATTGCGGATCATCCTGTACTTTCTTTCAACGAACACTTTCACGTGTTCCTGACTGCCAAAGTAAGTAAAATGTGTTCTCTTTTTCCACAAGTACATTTAGAAGTAGAAGCCTTGGTTCAGAAAAGGATGAAAGATTCTTTAAGACAGTATAAGATATGCGTTCTTATAGCCAGCATACTATTGAGTAGTTCGCTAATATAGTCGGAGTGTCACCGGCAGCAGCAGATTGCTGTTAATTACCGAATCCTTACTTTGATATCAGGTTGCTTGTGACTCACAATGAGAGAGAGTCATACACAGCCAGAAGTTGAAACAGGAAATCTTTAATTAGCAGTAATCTGCCATTGTTGTTGCTGTCAGTTCTGCTGAATAGAGTAGGATTTTGGCCTATATCTTCCAGACAGTATTAAAAGGTGTGGTTTTAAGTACTTCAGTTGAGGTCATTAGAAAGCCACGTCAGTTAAATCGCAATTTTAGGTGCTAGTTTCTCATGGAAGTTAAAAATTAAGGTTGTATCACAGTTGCTAACAGATGATCTTAGAACATAGTTGGACCACAAGTTAGTTAGAGCAGTGTTTCTGATCCTTTTTCGAGACATAACTACTTTTATTATAGCCAAGTAAACTCCAATCCCCTGCCATATTTGCATAAAAAGGCATTTTTAGTGGGGTAGCTAAAACACATTAAAACTGATTTTTCAGAATACACTATAATTCTAACCTAATATTTAATGTGATGGTTGTACCTGCATCTGGGCAACCAGCTTCAAAATTCATGGCTGCATGTTTAAGCCACTCTTCCCATTCCCGACAGTCCCTTAATATATTCCATGAGGTGGTGGTTACAAGAATGGGTTGAACCTGGGTTTTACTGGAGGAGAGAGAATTTTCTCTCAGGAAGGAAACACCACTCTTTTTGTCCTCCTCTTACGTGGTGGCCCCACTGCCACTTCAGCCATCCTCTCTAAGATGAAGATGGTTGGCAGTACAGAGTTGAGGCGAGGAAGGGACCAAACCGCTTCAGCAATGGTGGTGGCCTTTTTCTCCTCCTGCACTATTTCTCCCTCTCCCCCTCCAGCTTTTCTGCTGCCTCCTCACCTCTACCCCTTCCATGGTTGGCCTGGCTTGCAAGAGCTGTGGCTGGGTTCTGCCTCCTGCTCCTTCGTGTCCCAGTCTCTCCCATCCAAACCAACAAACCACCACAACTAAGGAGGAGGTGCCACCAACACTGGAGCAGGAGAACATATAGTCTGAGGGCCTCTGGGGGCTGAGGAGCTCCACAAGTGGGAGTGAAGAGAGCTTTTCTTTGCAGGGGTACAACTGAAGGAGGGAGTGGTGTGTGCGCGTGGAAGGGAACAGGGGGGGATTTGAGGGTGATGTGTCCTCCAAATCCTGCAGTGACCTCCCATGAAACACTTTGTGGCCCTCTTGAAGGTTGTGACCTACGGATTGGGAACACGTGAATTAGACAGAAGATAAAAGGATTACTTTGTGGCAGAAAATTAGGCAAAAATAAAAACAAGTGGGAATCCTACTTTACAAAGTTATAAGAAGAGCTTTGCTATGTCAAGCCAAAGACCCATCTGGTTTAGCATCTTGTTTTCCAGATGATCCTAGGCAGCCCATGATGGGAATTAAGCAAACAACTAGGAATATGGGGAAATGCTTTCTTTTCCACCTGCATTTCTGCTCTAATTCCCTTGGACTGGTGTTCAGAAGAATGTTGCCTTTGATAATAGAGGAAGCATATAACCCTTCTAAATAGCATTAACTCTTATCTTCCTTGATGCTGTGTACAATCATCTATGTTGCTGGCCATCACCACATCCTGTAGTAGGGAATTCCATGGTTCAAACTGTCTTCCTTCTGCCTCACGCTTGATGCGGAAGTTGAAACTGTCTAATTTCCAGTTGTAATACAGTTTGTGACAAATGCGTGTTGACTTTCCCCATCCTGATGAGGTGTCCTTGCATGTTATAGAACTGGACTCTTATTTTAGTTGAGATGTCATCACTGCATGAGAGTGTAGTGATGTTATTACGCAGCAGAGCAAATTCTACAACATTCGACATGGTAATTCTTAAAATGGGGGCAGCCCAAACAAAAATCATAACTTTGAAACTAGACTTTAGATCAGCACCAGATTTGACACAGATGTAACTGACTCTTGTTCTGTGCCAAAGGGAACACAGGGCTTAAAAGGAATTAAAAGTACAGTACTAATGTGGTAACACCTATATAGTATCTTTAAACTGTTCTAGTTCTAGTTTAAATATACTGTTCTGCTCTCCCTGGCAAAAACATCCAGAGTTATAATTTCAAGAGAGGTCTGAGAATTTCATAGCTGGAAAGAAGTTCATTGATGTCTCATTGTGATCAGAAGTTGCATATAATCTGAATGGGAGAAAAGCTGGCCCATTTCTCAGTTGCCTTACATAAATTATTCTGCTTGGTAGCTAGTTTCCCTGAGGTAAAAAAGAAATCTGTTTGCCTGGATGTCCTAAAGTCAATGACTGCTAAGCATAGGCTTGATTTTTCACTGTTTTCCCTTGAGGTAGTAACATATTAATCTTTTGGATGTTTTTTTTCCCCTACATTGTTACCTGTATAACTATGACAAGCAATGTTTGAGCGATCTATCCTCTGAAAGAAATGTTTGTAATAAGATTGCAAATGTTGACTGAACATGTATATTCTGATTGTCACTGCATGAGAGTGTAGTGTTGATATTGTGCAGTAGAGCAGATTAACATTCTACATGGCAGTTCTAAAAATGGGTGCAGCCCAAACAAACAGTTAAAACTTTCACACTTGTTGAAAATGGCCCTGACAATTGCTTTGTATATGAAAAAAAGGAGTCAGCTTCTAGGATTTCGGCCCTGACAATTGCTTTGTATTTGAGTGCTGAACTTATGAAAAAAGGAGTCAGCTTCTAGGATTTTCCCTTGTGTAGTATCACTTTGTGAATAGTAGTGAGCAGAAGAGGGTATCTGATAAACCATCTTGTCTGCTGCCATTGGTGTTGTCAGCATTCAGGCTGCCCTTTGCTATATAAAGTTTGGCATGGCAACATGGTTATGATACTATGCAGCAATATCAAGCCATTTCCTGGTGTTTTGAATCATGGACACAGATACACAATATTCCACATTCATAAACTGGAGATTTTTTGAAGAATCAAATTTATCAGTATTGGCTATAGTGTCAGTACCTTTTTTGTTTGGTCATTAGAAGGCCACTGTTAGACGATGGAACCCAAAAGTTATGCTTTGCTACATAATACTAGTAACTTTATTATGGTCAAAGACCAATAAGACCAGAACAATATAAAAGAACGTAGAAATCTGTACATTTCCGGAAGAACATTTTAGATTGTTTTGACCATGTTCTTAACATGGAGCATGGAGTCTTTTTGTTTTTGTTGTAGTAAAAAAATGAACTCTACTGAGTTTAGTATTAATGTGAGCATCTAACTTTCACACTGTATTGTGGGGTTGAGCTAGACAAGATGCTTAACACATTTTTAGAAAAGTCCTCCCTCTAGTGTTGAAAAGACATATGTTTATCGTGCAGTTTTTTTCAATGAAACTTGCATTTAGTATCCTTTGGATTGTGGTTGATACTTGAAAAGCAAACACTTGTTGAATTTGCAAGTCTGATTGCTAATGCATGTATCTCTGAGGAAATCATGTTGTGAGAAGCAAAACAGACTCCCTTTCAAGATTACTTTGATTTCTCTCTCTTGTAGAATATATTGTTCACTGTTCGCTGAGGCTTCTCTCTGAGGGCCAGGTACTGGGATATAAGAATTATTCAGACTAGGCTTAGGAAATATTAAAAAATGAGAGTAAAAATCACTACAGAAGTGTCAATTTTTTTGGAAGCCTAGCAATCAAGTATACAAATATTTTCTGGTTTAAACAAAAACACCTGTCAGGTATAATTTCTGGGCTCTTCACGATCCACAGGACTGTCATTCTATGCAATATTCAGAGCAGCTGAGGTTGAAGCGACTTAATATTTAGTTAGTAGAATAAGCATGTACGTACGTATGTACTACGTACGTACGTATGTACTTATATATACCCTTCCATTAACAGGTTGGAACGGCTGATACTTCAGTTTGATGTCTACATTGGTTTTACCTCATTGCATAATTATTTGGTTGATTTTCTTGTTTCTAATCAGGGCATTTATGCTTAAAACATAAAATATTCTATATATCTTTATATGGAAAGCTGTGTAAAAGCCTTATTACATGGTTGTGGTTGTTATGCACTGTCAGGTAGCCTCCAGTTTATTGCCACTCATTGTTTTATAATTTCATTATCTAAATGAGTCGGGGGAGAATGCAGTGGCAGTGTTTTTTTGAGGGTGTTTTTGTTTGTTTTTTAAGGAACAAATATATTTGGGGGCACAATGTACGCAAAATGAAAAGCTGATTAATTGTTTTGTTACCCCCAGGATCTTAATGCTTATAAAAAACAAGGAATGGCCTTGCTTTCCAAGATGGGAGAATCAGTAAAATATGTCACAGGAAGCTATAAATTAAGAAGTCGACCGTTGGAGTTTGCAGCCATTGGCGACTATCTAGATACGTTTTCTTTGAAGCTTGGGACCATTGATAGGATAGCACAGCGGATAATCAAGGAGGAAGTGGGTGAGTAGGACAGGCGCCTTCCCTTGCAATGCTCTTTTGTCATGTTGGGAGGGTCTGAGTAAGTATCAGTGTCTGCATTGCTCTTGTATAAACTGTACATGTCATTCTTGTGTATTACAATTTCTTGGATGTCCCATTACCTCAAAAAAGCATTAAAGGGGGTGTGTGTGTAGAAAAGATTTTGAGAGCCATGGGAAATACGTATACTAATTTAGAATGGCTAAATTCTCTGTTCAGATTGTTCCTTTTTATGTTTTGAGATAAATTGTACAGCTCTGGCTCTCCAAAGCTTCTGGCCAGGTACTGATGGTTTCTCTGTTGGAAAATATCTTGGGAAACATGGTCTTTCTCACCTGAAATTTAAGCTTAGGCTTGTAGCTTCAGGAAAAAAAAGATCTTTAGTCATCCTTTAAAATCCAAAAATCAGAACTGACTGGTCCTCTTCTTCACACATTGGCTCTCTTGCAGAATACCTGGTAGAACTTCGAGAGTATGGTCCCATTTACTCTACATGGAGCGCGTTAGAAAGTGAGCTGTCCGAACCTCTGGAGGGGGTGTCAGCCTGCATTGGGAATTGTTCTACAGCCCTGGAGGAACTGAGTGAAGATATGACCGAAGACTTCTTGCCTGTTCTAAGAGAGTATAGTTTGTACTCAGAATCCATGAAGGTAAAGTGCAACTGGTATTAGGCAGACGTTGTTTATTAAAGCTACATTGCCGAAAAGCCTTTTTGTATGTTCTGTGGCTGTTTCTTAAAGGATGTATGAATCAAAATATTTTCTTTCCAGAGAGCAAGTGCCTCCTATTTCGATGCATTGGATGAAGTCTTATGATCATGAAAAACATTATACCATTTTGAGAAGGCTCTTTCTCTGTCTACTGTCTCAAATTTTGTCCTAAATTGTCCTAAAAACAGTGAACCTTCTATAAAGACTTGCCTGTTAAAATTTAGGGGGCTGGTGCAGATTGACTTCCCTCTCACATATTTTGAACTACATCTCCCACAATCCCTGCTGTGTAGAGTTTTGGGAGTTGTAGTCCAAAGCATCTGGAAGACCAAATGTCTTGATATAGATGCTAAATAACATTTATACAGAAATCCACTTCACATTCTGTTTACTAGGAGCCTTTGTTGGTTTCATGTTTAAGCACTATGACAAGCACACTAAGAGTGTAGAGGTTAATCCTGGTGTCAGTGAATTGGTAAATTCAGTGAAGGCATAGTGTGTACCTCTTGTTTCTTCACACATGGGAAGCTACACTCTGGCTCACAGGTATCAGAGAGCCATGGCTTATATCCTGGGATGTATAGAGGCATCCAAAGTGTTTCTTGTTCAGTGTTTGCTTTTATGGGTATATTCATCTCTAAGTTACTATCTGTGGAGCTGACTAGAGTGAGGAGTTGGTCTTGCAACAAGAGATGATTCTGGGATTTTTAGGTGCTATGGTAAGACACACACTGTTTTTCAGCTAATCGTAGAGATGGGGATATATAGATACACACATGTACACAAACACATACATACGTATTTTCTTTGTGCCTACATACTTTTGTCTTCTGTTCAGAGCTAGGAAAAGTTAATTTTTTGGGTCTGCAGTTCCCACTATCTAGCATGGCCCATGGCTTTAAGGATTTGCAGTCCAAAAAAGTTAATTCATACAAGCTATGCTTATTTCTTTTACATGTAGTTGCTTTTGCCAAGCTGCTGTTGTCTCCGCCATTGTCTAGAATTCACATGTCACTGCTGCTTGGAACATTTACTTGAATGGATGTCTCTGATGTATTGATTAGATAAACTGGGGGAAGAACTAGGGGCTTGTTAGTCCTAACTGGTATTGTTGTTGTTGGAACAGTCCACTAGGAAATGTTGCAGTGAGACAGAGCATACTGGGCAGAGTTAGTGTAAATAGTCCCCAGTGAAGTGTTTTGGTAATTAGGTAAATGGAGTTAACTTTAAATAATATAATAATATATTATAATTATAATAATTTATAATAATTATAATTATACTTTTTCAAGCTAGAGGAGATTTAAAAATATGCTGAAGGACTCTTTCCGGCATATGTACTCAGCTGACATCTTCTGCTTCCTGATCAGTTGTAACATTTTTGTGTGTATGTTCCCCTGCTCATTCCTATTGCTTTAAAGAAGTTACCGTATATGCTATCAGTAATGAAGAGGCTTTAATTCACTGTTGAAACATGACATATTTTAACAATGTGTAATGGTAGTTACCATATTTTTTGCTCCTTAAGACGCACATAATTTTTAGAATTTAATTCATGTACATATAGACCATTATCAGTCAGTGATAAGACCTATACCACCCTACCTATATTTTACATTTCCTTTCATCCACCTCCTCCCCATGCTTATAGAAATGTCTCAATGACAGATGAGATTGTTGTGCAACTCTGCTCAGCTACAGCTCAAGCCCATATTAAGTTAGAAATGGTTTGTCTGATTTGGCACTGCATTGAGAGGTCCCTTTTAGTTGTGTGGAGGATAAATAGTGGAATTGACATAATTGAAGACACAACAGGTTAGGCCACACAAAGCCATGAACAATGTTCTTGATGAGCCAAAAAAACTGAATACAAACTATAGTAGCTGAAATCAGGAAGCAGGTACTGTAATCCAGTTAGAAGTCACGAGGCACAGTTAGTTTCCTTGCTGCAACACCCTTTGGAAATACATTCTGTATTAGATGCCCAGAACTAGTTGAAAAGTTTGCAAGTTGAATCCATATTTCCCATAGAAATGCATTGAAAATTAATTAATACATTTTTATGGGGGGGAAGCTCAGAAACTTTAAAAAACTTAAAAGAAAGTCACTTACCAGGTACTGTAGACTGAGCCTGGCTCTTCACAGTGCCTTGGTTAGACCCCAGAACAGCCAAAAAAGAGCCCCAAACAGCTAAAATCCAGCAGGCAGCGGGGAGATGACAGCCATTTTGTGCTCTTCTCTGCTCCTCCTCCTTCCCCCTCCCCTCTTCCCACCTAACAGCTGATCGGCGCTGGTCTGAATGACTTCCCAGGCAGCTTTTAAAGCAAGTACTGGTATGCACGTTTCTACACAAGCAGGTTTCAACTCAAACGGAGCACCTTTTCACCCAAGCATTAACCCCAAACAAACAGCTTTTAAACTAAAATTTACATTTTAAAACGACAATACCACGCAGTCCCAGGTCTCTCTCCCAGCTCTCTAACTGCTTGGACTAGCAAGGAAGCAGACAAGCAGCCTCTTCACTAACTGAAAGTGTGAATTTCCTCGTTTTCCCTGCCTTCCCCGCATATTAGGTATGCTAATATCTGTGCACTGGAAGATTGTGGGAGGAACATCCAGCCCCTGATGGGGGTCCTGTGGGGCACCCCAAAACACTGAGTAGCTCTTATACAGTACAGCCCCTCCTCCTGATGTCCCGCCTTCCACTCCCCATAGGATGGAACTTTCCCTCCAAACCCATGACAGACAGGTAACATCAGTGCTGTTATGTAACAAGGGGCAGGAGTTGCAGGAGCCATTCCAACTCATACCTGGCAGGGGAGATACCATGATCATCAAAGTGGTTTTCCCAGGGTGAGGCTCATCTATTGCACTTTGGATGTGCTGACCCCTGTGATTTCCCCAAATGTGGGAAAATCAACTGCCTAAGTGGGGGACTGTGTTTGTGGTTTCCCCTGGTCTTTCTAGAATCACTCTTTCCCCTTTGGTCCTTGGCTGTTTTCACTGCCTGCTGCCATAGGTCTGTTGGCCTTGCTGGTTTTTCAGGGGGGCTCCAGGAAGCAGGTCCTGGAAAGCCAGCAGTCCAGAATGGTGAGGTCCAAATAGCAAGCAGTCTCTGGTGCTAGTTCAGAGGCCTCCCTTCATGGCAGTGGGAGGCTTTTGGGTGGTGGTGGTTGAACCCTTTTTTACTGTA